ACGGTATACAACAAAATATTAGAATTTTTTTAATTTGTAACTAATTTTATTGTCAAAACAAGCAATTCCTGAGAAAATAAACATTAAAGGAGATTTTAAAAAAATCACATTTCAACTTCACCAGAAACATTGCAGTTTATCTTATTTCACTCAAGGATGATAATATAAAAAGCAGCTGTGGGTTTGAACAAACAAAAAAAATGCAGTTAGTGTACTGAAAGACCAGTATACCGTGTATATTAATACACAGATGCAGAGTTAAGTGATAGAAATTCCTGAGCCGGGAAAAGTAAAGACCTGAAATCAGTCACTGCAGAGATAATTTTTAGGAAAGTAAAAAAAGAGACAGAGCAGAATAATACCGTTATCTCAACTCCAAACAGGAGCAGCTTACATTACTGTTAACAATTATAGGAGCTTAATCATCCAGATTATTATTTTTTTCATTTATCCACTGGCATGGCAAGAAAATGTTGATCTTTTGCATTTGGAGCATGAATGCACATTATGTATACACTCTGAGACAAAAGCTTGTCAGTGTACTTCTTAAGGCACTGGAGTATGAGCGGCTGTGAAAAATACACAGGATATATTGAGTTTGAATGCAGACGAGTTCACTTTTAACCCATTATTTCACAATAATGTCTGATCAGTAACGTCCACGGGCTAATAAAAGCATGTGGTGTGGTCAAATAGTAAATGGCAAAACAAACATTATGTCCACTGAATGATCTAGATAAAAATATATGATTGAATGTTTATTTTTTTTTTATATTGTGATGAAAGAGAAGAATGCAGCTTGTGAAAATGACACTGCACTTTGTTCCTCCTTTGTGCCTTCTCAGATACTGCAGACTGATGAACGCATGACGAGTCTTTACATTCCAGAGAGAAAAACACATCTTCCTTTGCCTCTTACAGCCACCGAATCAGTTTTTGCATTCATATAGAAATTATTTTCTAACATCTCGTTAGTAAATCTGCACCAGAAACAGTTATTTTCTTTTCTTTTCTTTCTTCTTTTTTGTTCTTCCTGGTGATTCTCATTATTGGCAGAAAGTTTGTCCATGTTGCTGTAGATTACTGGAAGCACTTTACGATTACAGCCTCTGCAGGACATTTCGGCATTTTCTTTGCTGTGCATCAAAACTCCATTTGAAATTTCCTGAGGCTGGGTCCTCTCCGAACAGCTGTCAGCTGGAGTTTGGACCTGTTTTCTTTTTGCAGCTCTGGCACGAGACAAACTGGATCCCGGTTGGTTTGTTAGCTTGTGGAGTTCACTGATGGATAAAACGATACTTTCTTTACCTCAAAAGCCAATAACAGGAAAAACATTCCTGTTCCTGAGAGGTACATCAAGCAGGAAAGTCCCTTGGAGATGAATCCACTCAGTTTTTAGGCTCTTTGGACAGAGAAGAACTCAGCTCTCAGACATGTTGGAGAAAAAATAGAATCATATAATATTTGTTTATCATATGTGGCACATTTGCTTGCCTAAAAGTTATTTTGTGAATATAAAATTATGCAAAAAATGTGAGGCAAACAGTAGACGATTGGTTAAGGAAACCACAGCTTACCATCTCAACCTGTTGGGTCACAGTTTCCTCCTGACAATCTGTTTAAGGTGGAGCTCACTTTCTGCTGCCACGATTGGCAACTGGTTCTTAAGGTGGTATGATATAAGATGGCCGATACTCTCAAACAGCATGTCCTTTGTCCGAACCTTTACAGAGACAAGCAGGGATTATGCTGGATAAAGAACTATAGAAGAAATGTAGTCTTATTAGAATCAGACTTCTTTTAGACATTGTATTTAAAATATTGAATTCTTATCCTTTGCAATTATGGATGTGAATTTTATTTTTCTTACTTCAAATACAATTCATCTATCCATTATCTTCCGCTCATCTCTGCCTATCAGCAGAGAGACCCAGACTTCCCTCTTCCAGCCACTTGGACCAGCTCATCCGGGGGAATCCCAAGGCTTTCCCAGGCCAGCTGAGAAACATAGTCCCTCCAGCGTGTCCTGGGTCTTCCTCTGGGCCTCCTCCCAGTGGGACGTGCCCAGAACACCTCACCAGGGAGGCGTCCAGAAGGCATCCTTACCAGATGACCAAGCCACCTCAACTGGCTCCTCTCGACGTGGAGGAGCAGCGGCTCTACTCTGAGTCCCTCCCAGATGACCAAGCTTCTCACCCTATCTCTAAGGGAGAATATTATAATTATAATATTCTCCCTTAGAGATTATTATAATTATAATGAATATTGTTACTATGGTCTTTTTTTTTTGATGTGAAAACAATGTTTATGATCCAACAATAGTTGGGGCTTAGGTCTCTGTTGTTGGTATTTTGAGGGTCAAAGTCTGAAAAGTTTGGGAACCACTGCTGTAGAGGAAACTCATTTTGGCTGCTTCTTTCCACAATCTTGTTCTTTCGGTCACTACCCAAAGCTCGTGACCATAGATGAGGGTAGAAATGTAGACCGACTGGTAAATTGAGAGCAAAAAGCTTCACCACGACAGACCAGTACAGCGCCCACATCACTGCAGACGCAGCACTAATCCACCTATCGATCTCCTGCTCCATTTTTCCTTCATTCGTGAACAAGATCCAGAGATACCTAAACTCCTCCACTTGGGGCCGGACCTCTTCTCCAACCTGGAGGAAGCATGCTACCCTTTTCCGGCTCAAGACCATGGTCTCGGATTTGGAGACACTGATCCTCATCCTGGCTGCTTCACACTTGGAGGCGAACTGCTCCAGTGAGAGCTGGAGATCACGATGTGATGAAGCCAATAGGACTTCAAATTGGCCAGTAAAAATTCTACTATAGAAAATTGCCTTCAAAAACTTGCCTGCAAATGTGTTGACCTGGTCACTCAAGCCAAAGCAATCATCACTGGATCGAGTCGAGTGGCTTTCAGCCATCACGCTCATTTGATCACGTGACACGCCAGCATGTTGGGTAGAGGTAACCCTCTGAACAGTTTCTGGCTGAATGAAGACAAGTGAAGAGCTTTTTAATTTAACTTTCTTCTATGGCAAGCCATTTTGTGTGACGTGATCAAATAAGTGTAATTTGATTGGCTGAAAGCCACTCGACTCGATGTACTTTGCTTGAGTCACCAGAAGGTCAACATATTTGCAGGTGCATTTTTTCCAGGCAAATTTGCAAAATCAAAAAAACCTCACATACATAATTACAAAGGATAAAAATTCAATGTGTAAAAACAGTCTGATTCTAATGAGACTGTATTTCTTCCGTAAAGAACTGTATGAAATCTTTACTTGGCTGTGAAACTCACCACTCCCTCGGGGTCCACTAACAGTAAGTGTTTGGGCAGGCCACAGTGCATGCCCGTTAGCACGTACTGCCCGGGGTTGGTGGTGCTCTCCCGCACGAGAAAATCTCCGTCTCGGACCAGAAGCTTTTCTGCGTCTCGTCGGCTCATGCAGCTGTGGTACCAAGGCTCCCTGCGGAGCTGCTCCTCGTTTGGGGCCACGGGGGCCCTGCGTCGTGGTGGACTGGGCCACTGGTCCTCCGGGTTTCGAGCACCTGCCCCTGCAGCTTGAGAACCAGAACCTCCTGTCGTGCTGGACCCAACAGCTCCACCGCAGGCCTCGTGGAGCTTCAGGGCGTCCTCAAAAGGCCCTGCAGGCACACGGATTGTTTGCTCAAACATTTGAAGACAATGGTACCTCTCACTGGATCTGTTGCAGAAAATCCATGAACTCACTCATGTCGAAGAGGTCTTTCTTTGGACTGTCGTGTGCCTTGACCCCTTTATGTCCTTCTGCACTGTGTGTGAGAGACTCCAGGTTCTCCAGGCTCTGAGTGTTCACATACTGGTGCTCCTCGTAGTCCTTGGTGCCCGATGGTTGACCGTCAGCACACAGATACCCATCTGATATCAGAACAAACACATTTCTGATTGAATTTCTGTATTTTCTACATAAAACTGTTAAAACGTTTAACATTTGTGTACTTTTTACCCCCTCTAGTGGCTGATTTTACCGATTAACCCCTCCACTTTAATCACACTATGTCTCCTGCTGAAAAAGCTAAATCTGCTACCATCTGTGATTAAAATGTAATGATGGATCATCAACACAATGAAAATTTTTTGACCGATTTAAAGTTGAAAAAAGTGTGCCATCCAGCTGCATAGTCCTGAAAAGCAGTATTACGGAGCCCGCAAGGGTACATGGGAGATTTTTGCTTTTGCGTTCCCATGCAAAAGATTGTTTTGTACAGTATATAAACTGAATTAAATCTGACTTTTATTTTGAAACATCCAGTTACCAAAACAGGATGTGTTGCCACAAGTTTGTGAAATTGACATTGATGTGGCGTGGCTGCACTGTGTTAAAATATCGGCATATGATATACTTCCATGCATGGCTATGTATATGTCAATTTCACAAACTTGTGGCAACACATCCTGTTTTGGTAACCAGATATTTCAAAATAAAAGTCGGATTTAATTCAGTTCATATACAAAACAAAACAATCTTTTGCGTGGGAACGCAAAAATATTGTGAGGTAACGCAAAAGTATTGCGAGGTAATGCAATAGTATTGCATGGGAAAGCAAAAGAAAAAAATCTCCCATGTCCCATTTATATTAATTCTGAAGCTGAATTAAAGCAGTAGGCTAACTCGCTAACGGTGAACATGTGAGTTAATAAACYGGCAGGCACAACAGTGATAAACTAATTTTGCGAGGGAACGCAATACTATTGCGTAGGAACGCAAAAGAAAAAAAATCTCCCATGTCTCCTCGCGGACTCCGTAGACAGTATGACTATCACAATATCAAGAGTCTTTAAACACTCTGTTAAATTTACATTACACTCATTAAAAGACACACTTACTATTTAAAATTGTTATGAAATCATTTTTATTGTCATTTTGGCAAACTTGCAGTTAAAATTTCAGATTATTGAGGATAATTTTTGTGTTCATTCTATTAGAAATGACAGATTTTACACAACAGGAGAGAACACGCCATTCTATTCTAAAATCCATAATTTTATTAATGTCATCTTGAGAGAAAAAAGTCCAAACTTTCGCCAAACTAGTTAAGAAAAAAAAAATTAAAGAAATAAAGTTCTCAGGACACAAAGTGCAGCAGTTTCAACTCGTAACACACAAAAAGCAGCCAAGTTCCACGTGTTGCCAATTTAACTGCACACACAAACTCACAACCATCTGAAAAACATTAAGTCTATGTTGTGATGAAAAAGGCTTTTGGGGAAAATAAATTAAGTCACTGAAACTTCAAACATATTAATATTTGCTCATTCTTAAAAACTTTTTAATGTTAGTTAATATTATCAAAATCAGATTCATGTTACCAAAAACGTCCCCTGTTTACATTACGCTGCCAGGGTGTCTCACCTGAGCTGCAGGTGGTCTCAGTGTCCCAGTGAAGCTCATAACACAGCTGTCCAGGTGGGTAAGAYGCCTGCTCTCTCCTGGCTGGTGATCCCATCTGCAGCACACAACCACACATCCTAAATCCATCTCTGCAAGCTCAAGAAGAGTCCTCATCTCTCCGTATCATATTATAAACAAGCTGTACAGAGAGGCAAATCTTTTCATCAAATCTTTATGTGTCTTTGGTAGTTTAGTTGTACACTTTCATGCACCGATTMTTTTACTGTGGAGAATGAGCAACAATACACACAGTATGTTCAGATGCTTCAGTCAGATTCTGATTGTTTTTTTTTTTCTGTGATTCAATCATAATGAAAAATAATCAAACGTGGCATATAACTTTTTAGCATCGCAGACAGCTCTAGTTTTAACACTAAATAGAGAMTATGATGGAGGTGAAACAGCTCCTCTATAAGTCCTATATTGAAAAAAATAGATTTGAAATAATATTATAAGCAGATTTTTTWTACTGATATTCATTTGTGACACAAAACATATCTTGTGTTTGTAGATCACATGTGTCAAACTCAAGGTCTGTGGGCCAAAAGTGGCCAGTCATGGAGCTTTATGTGGCCCGCTAGAGCTTCAAATATGTATTAATGTCTTTAAAGTAAGCGTATGCTGCTTTAAAGCCAGCATTGACTATAAACTACATCTCCCATAATGCACGTTGATTATTTTACCCACCTCAAACTGATTAAATGTGTAACTGAAATACAAAAAGCTGCAAACTTGTTTTCAAATAAACAAAAGCCAAAGGCATACCGAAACCGCATCCAAACATCAAATACTGACATATTTTTTAAAAAATGTTTCTGCACAAATGCCAATATGCTTACCTGATGCGGCATTTTGCTCTGTGGTTGGGTGTGAATGTGACCCAGGAGGGCTCCAATGGGCCTGAGTCTGGAGTCCACAACTCCCCCAACAGGGGGCTCCTTCCCTGGGATGCTGTTGTAGTAATCATGTTCAGAGAAATCTTCATCCTCCGCCCACATCGGCTCCTCCATCCTGACGGGCCTGAATGACACAGAGATGAGGTGAAACTATGAATAAATGTCGAGAATATTTTTTTAAAAAACTTCAATCATCTATTTTTATATTAAAATGCTAAAATAGACTTTATGTAAATGTTCTAATTGAATAAAGCAGCTAAAGATTTAAACACGTCCTTAAATCTATTGCCACTGACAGGARGGAGGGTATTTATGTTCCTGTTGTGTCTGCAGAAGCATCAGAAAATCTGTTTTAAAAAATATAAGAGATTTTGCAATACAAACATTCAGTTTTCTTAAGAAATAAATAGTTTAAGACTGTAGATCAAACTTTTTGGCTGATTTAGTTCTTGTTCATCACCACATCATTCATGKCTGTAATGTTTGGTGGCTGCTGAGCTGGATCCAGGAGGAGTGCAGACCAGCAGGTGGCAGACAGGTTTGATTCTAATGTGAATTACTGAATGAAAACTAATTCAAACCATATGAATTTTCTGCAAAAACACACTGTGAATGCTGAGTGCTGAATGTTAAATGACTTTGCTGCAAYTTACAAGACTGAGTAGTTAAACAAAACGTGTATTTTAGCAAGATAATTACAAAAACGTACAAGGAGACAAAAAAGAGCAAATATGCTCTTTTTGAATGAACTGAAAGAGTTTGAAGGTATTTCTATGTGCAAATGTTTTGTATTCAACGAGAAAATGCTGAAAGTATAAAACTTAAGAAAAACTAAAAGAACATTTCTCCCCAAAGGTTTTGATAAACAAATCAATAAAGTAGCACAAAGTGCAGAAGTGAGCTTGACTGCAAAAAAACACATCTAGGAAACAACAGCATGACTCAACATTCGTACAATGCATAATATTTTATACATATATTGTATATATATACAATATATGTATAAAATATTATACCCCTTGGTGGCCCTAATCCTCGGCAGGTTAAAGATTTTTATCCATTGAAGGTTTTATATATATATATATATATAAATTTTCCCCTTGGTGGCCCTAATCCTCGGCAGGTTAAAGATTTTTATCCATTGAAGGTTTTTTTTAAAGTGAATCTTACCTCTCTACAGAAGCCATGGTTTTAGGAGGACTGTGTAGATACTGTTTGAACTGTAATTCGAAGGCCTGCCCAATGGTACTGATGACACTCTGGGCTAAACCGTCAGAGCACTCCAGGATGTGGCATGCTGAAAAAACAAATCATCAAACGCCGTAAATCAAGGGAAAAAAAACTCTTGTGTATGTACGAGCGATATGTGAAAGTGAGCTTTAATTATTTGTTTTAAAAAAAATGTATAAATGCATCATGAATTAGGCAACAAAGAAAAGTTTTTTAAGGGCAAACCTCTCTGATTCACTGGGTCTTTGGCCACATATGCAACATAATCAGGTGTGTCCTGCAGAATCCGGGATAGAAAATTCAATTAGGCAAAAGTAGAACATGTTGATAACTAAAGTAGTTGATTTGTGTGTTTATAAGATTATAAATCAGAAGAAAGTCTGCTATGGTGCCCATCCAGTGACACTGGATTAAAAAAATGTTTCTGCACAAATGCCAATATGCTTACCTGATGCAGCGTCTTGCTCTGTGGTTGGGTGTGAATGTGACCCAGGAGGGCTCCAATGGGCCTGAGTCTGGAGTCCACAACTCCCCCAACAGGGGGCTCCTTCCCTGG